GCCGGATGCTCTCCACAAGATACTGGTAAGACTTCCAGTCACCAGCAGTAACCTCATCCAGAACAGGGAAATCTCACACAGACCTCTCAGAAACACATAAATGAGGGATTGGCGAGGCATTACCCCCATAACCTCATTCTTTTCCGTGGCACCGCTTCCCAAATCACAATCTCCTGTTCCTTAGGGGAGGAATAGGCCAGTTTACGCACAGAACGCAGCATGGAGCAGACTGTACCCCTCACACCATCCCTAACACCCTGGTGACCTGTCACACACACACCTACTTCCAAATCCTACGGCATGAAAGATGAATACATCTGGCCTACCTGACATCTTGTTAGGATCCAGGGGAAAAAACCCTTCCTCAGTGCGGGATTTTTCCCTACTTCCCTTGTTAGTTTGAGATGTTTCTCTGCCTTTCCCACTCCGGCGTCGCTGATCCTCTGTCACACAGCTGAGCTGTCAAATCTGAAGCCTCTTCTCTTCAGTTTGTAAAATACCATCTTAGAATCATAGAATCGTAGAATCACCAAGGTTGGAAAAGACCTCAAAGCTCCCCCAGTCCAACCGCTCCCCCATCACCAACAGCTCCCACTGAACCACGGCCCTCAGCACAGCATCCAGCCTTGCCTTCAACACCCCCAGGCTCGGTGCCTCCCCCACCTCCCTGGGCATCCATTGCAGTGCTGCCCACCTTGCTGACACCTCATTCTTCCTCACGTCCAGCCTGAATCTCCCCTGCCGCAGCTTGAAGCCGTTGCCTCTGCTCCCATCACTGATGGCACGAGAGCAGAGGCCGCCCCCCAGCTCACTACAACCTCCCTTCAGGAAGTTATAGAGAGCAGTGAGGTCTCCCCTGAGCCTCCTCTTCTCCAGGCAGAACATTCCCAGCTCTTTCAGCCTCTCCTCATATGGCCTGTGTTCCAGACCCCTCACCAGCTTTGTTGCCCTCCTTTGAACACGTTCCAGGGCCTCCATGTCTTTCTTGCAGTGAGGGGCCCAAAACTGGTAACTGGACACTCCCCACTGAACAGAGTCCGTTCTCGCCATGCTGCCCCCCACACCTCAGATATTCACAGACCTGGATCAGCTCCCCTCTCAGCCTTCTTTCCTCCATGCTGAACAGCCCCAGCTCACTCAGCCTTTCTCCATAGCAGAGATGCTCCAGGCCCCTCACCATCTTTTGGCCCTCCGCTGGACTCTTCCCAAGAGATCCCTGTCTGTTTGGTGCTGGGCAGCCCAGAACTGGACGCCGTGCTCCAGGTGAGGCCTCAGCAGGGCAGAGCAGAGGGGGAGCATCGCCTCGACCTGCTGGCCACGCTCTGTGCAATGCAGCCCAGGATGCCATTGGCCCTCTTGGCCACAAGGGCACCCTGCTGGCTCATGGCAACCTGTCGTCCACCAGGACACCCAGCTCCCTCTCCGCAGAGCTCCCCTCCAGCAATGCTCCCATCACTGATGACACGAGAGCAGAGGCCGACCCCCAGCTCCCTGCAGCCTCCCTTCAGGAAGTTATAGAGAGCAATGAGGTCTCCCCTGAGCCTCCTCTTCTCCAGGCTGAACATTCCCAGCTCCTTCAGCCTCTCCTCATCAGCCCTGTGTTCCAGACCCCTCACCAGCTTTGTTGCCCTCCTTTGAACACGTTCTTCCTTGTCAGTTAAGACTGACTGTGTTAGAACTGCTAGCTCTCAGCCAGTCATCCTTTAACACATGCTGGATCCTTGCATCAACTTCTACCCTTTCTTTCCCCTCCCCGCTGTTTTAGAACCACCACCAAGGTAAGGAAGCACCCGGTGCCACCTCACGCTCCTACATCCAGCCCACAGCAACGAGCACCAGAAAATGGAAACCAGAGAGGATGAGGTTAACACAGAAACGAGCTGGAAACGGCGAGCTTTCCTCCGTATTACAGACAAAAGCAGCGAGGAAGCGGCGATGCGCTGCCAAAGGAAAGGCAGCTGTGAGCTGTGAACGAGGTGGATGGGATCACAGGTGGTGTGGGATGAGGCTCTTCCAGCACACTGAGAGGAGTGCCAGCACCAGGCCCTGCAGAGGTCTCATGTGGAATGCATTCATCAGGTCTAATTAACTAATTGCCAAGCAAACGGGCACGAGAAGGGCACAGAGCTGCGGGAGCAGCGCCAGGCTCGGCCCATAGAGATACTCAGGAGTTGGAGCACCTCTGCTACGGAGCCAGACTGAGAGCTGGGACAACGGGAGAACAGAAATAAGTCCATAAATTAGCTGTAAATTAGGCTTCAAGTACAGATTTCTAACCTACAACTGAAGTTGGAGTATTTAAAACAAGGTAATTTTTAGTGTCTCTAAGTTTAGAAGCAGCGTGCAGCTCCACTCAGGCCGCCCTCCTGAAATTCCTTTGGGGTCCTTCTTCTGTTATTAGAATTCCTACATTATTTTTTCCTTCAGCTCTGTGCTGTCTTTGCAGTTTTGCACAGTAAAGAACACAATACCCTCTTATATGCTTACAGTGTTTAGAATCGTTAACAAAAGCTAATTCTATTCCTAATTAGACAGAAAGATAACGAAATACATGCATTCAGGTTTTGAAAATACTACCAAAACTTTGGGCCCTCGAAAAAACCCAACTTGTCTTTCAGGCAAGGCACTGTTGCATGCTGCTGTGCTCCTCCTCACTGCCCTTTACACAGGGACCACAAGGATATTGAGTAAAAGCTCCTCACGTGGTGGAAATGAAGAGTTACTCCCCCCTTCACCCCAGCTGTGATGCTGGTGGTCTGACCTGACACCGGTTTGGGCACAGGAAGGAAGAAGAATCAGTGTGGGTAAGTGACACACCAACAGAAGCGAGCTGTAACCGTGGATCAGGGCAGACAGGATGCCAACACACCGAGAAGATGCAGCTGCTTCACTTCTGGGCTCTGCTCCACGCTGGGGCTCCCGGGAGCTGAAGCTCATCGTGCAAGTCCTCAGCAAGAAGGCGCCCTCCTGGCACTGCCCCGGCTCTCCTCCATCTGGCTCACAGTATTTGAGCAGCACTGCTGTATCACTGAGACCCCCCCCTCCTCCAGCCCAGCTATCGGCCCGTTTCTGAAGCAAACACAAACTCCAGCCCTTGAAGCACGGCGGGATGCTGAGCGCTTTTGCAGCGAGCCCAGCGCGAAGCACAAAGTGCAGGCAGGGCCCCTCTTCAAGCTCTGGCTCCACTCCTGCAGGCTGAGGCGGCTGCACCCGATGGGCGCTCGTCCCTTGAACACACACAAAAACACAAGTTAACTTTCTTGGTGCTTTTATCCAAACTACGAGTACATCACAGAGATCTGTGCCCACGTGGGAGCATTCTTTACACATGGCTAAAAAAACAGACAGGCAGAGGGGACAGGGGCCGAGTCCTTCCTGCAGAGTTCATGCCGACAGGTCGCTGTTATCAAACCTCTCCTGGTCGTACACCTCTGCCACCACCTTTCTGCCAGCAAACCAGCGCCCGTTCAGAGCCTGAATGGCTTTGTGAGTCTCTGAGGCCATGGAGAACTCCACGAAGATCTTGACGATGATCTCAGCATCTTCCTCTTCTCCCTGCTTCTCCTGGTAGATGATGACCCTGTTTACAGCCCCAAATTTGCCACATTCTTCCGTCACTTCTCCCTCCAGGTCATCATCAATGTCCTTGGGATCCACCATGTTGCGAAGCACCATCACAGTGGACTGGAGAGAGAAGGAACGGGACAAATCAATTAGTACATCAGATTTCCCAGTGTTACATCCTCATAAGTGTATTCCATGAAGGCAACAGTGTCAATAACATCCCAAATCCTTAAGGAATTCTTAAGGAAAAATGTCTACCTTTTCTCCCCAGGTGTCAGAGACACAAACAAATCTCATTCACTGCCAGCTGTGTTGCAGGCTGGTCTCGCTAAGAAAGGCTGAGCCATCCTGGGTGCTTTTTAGAATCACAAAGGTTGGAAAAGACATCCGTATCACGCAGCCCAACCTCCCGCCTATCACTGCCCCCAGAACCACGTCCCCAGGATATCGAACCCTTCCTTCAACACCTCCAGGGGCAGTGACTCCACCGCCAAGCAGTGCAGCCCGGCGCAGCTTCCTGAGCAGGAGTTTTTCCAAATCCAACCCGAATCTGCCCTGCCTCAGCCTGAGGCCATTCCCTCTCATCCTGTCGCTGCTGTGCGGGAGCAAAGGCCGAGCCCAGCTCACCACAGCCTCCCTCTCTGAGTGCTCCGGGTCACTGCAGAGCAATAGGGGTCCCCTGAGCCTCCTCTTCTCCACGCTGCACAAATCCCATTCCCCCAGCCGCTCCCCATAGGATTTGTGCTCCAGACCCTCCCAGCTCCGCTGCCCTTCTCTGCACGCTGCAGGGCCTCGGCGTCTCGCCTGCAGTGGGGGCCCAACTGAGCACAGCGCTGAGGTGCAGCCTCACCACAGCTGAGTACAGAGGGATGAGCACCTCCCGCTCTGCTGGCTGCACTGTGCCTGGCACAAGCCGGGATGCCATCGGCCTCCTTGGCCACCCGGCTGCCATGTGCTCTGCATCCTGCACAGTATCTGCTAGAAGATCTGTTAGATCTACTAGAAGGTGTTCTGGAAGATCTACAGTCATTAGCAATTGCACGGTGTAGGAATCCGCTGAGCCTCAGTAAGGAATGCCTGCCAGTGGTTAGCTGCTCTCAAATTCAGGCTAGAAAGAAGGCCGATTGGTTTTGTGTTCTGATTCAGACGTTGCACCTTTTCTGCTAGCTGAAAAAAAGATGCTTTGCAGTGCAGAACTTCCTGACCATCAGCACTGAGACGTCAAGTTGTCGCACGGCTTTCGGGAAGCTTTATTGGCTTGAACTTTCTGAATCGTTGATCAGAACCTTAAGGATCCGTAAAACTCCTGTGGCATTTCCACCCTCTGCGGCAGAAACGGTATTTCCACTGGTCTGACTTCGCCCGTGCATTTAAATCTGTGCATAAAAGACTGGGCCACCCGAGAGGAAGAGCAGAACGGCACAGGTCACAGTGCTGCAGCCGCCCCATGTCGCGCATCAGCACCCATCGCACGCCCACTGTTCCTGGCACAAGCCGGGATGCCATCGGCCTCCTTGGCCACCCAGCACACTGCTGGCTCACGATGAGCCGAGCATCAGCCAATGCCCCACCTCTGAAGGGTGGGTAGCCTGAAGATCCCATTTTTCTTATGCTGTTGCTATCCGGTTACTTGTTTTGCTTTGATACCTTCTTCACCACTGTCACGCATTTCAACTTTCTCTTGTGTGAGAATAACACAGGAAGTTTAACCAACTGTTTTCTATCCCTAAAAACTTCAGATAACGAAAAGAATCACGTAGGTTGGAAAAAACCTTCAAGATCATCAAGCCCCATCACCCCAACTCCCACCAAACAGAGCACACAGCACTGCTGATGCCCGCAGCCCCTGTTCAGTGCGCAGTACTCATCAGCTGACCAAGCCTTTGATTACAGGCATGGCAATAAATGAACCTTTCAGTGTGCCCACAACATTCTTTTGGTACATATCCTCCTATGGAGAAAGGCTGAGTGAGCTGGGTCTGTTCAGCATGGAGGAAAGAAGGCTGAGAGGGGAGCTGACCCAGGTCTGTGAATATCTGAGGTGTGGGGGGCAGCATGGCGAGGCCGGACTCTGTTCAGTGGGGAGTGGAGGCAGGACGAGGGGAAACGGCCGGAAATGCAGCATAGGAAGTTGTGCAGCAATGTGCGAAGGAACGGCTGTGCAGTGAGGGGAGGAGCAATGGAACAGGCTGCAGGGAGGGGGGGAGTCTGTGGGTCCCAGTGTGTCTCTATAGGTCCCAATGTGTCTCTATGGGTGCCAACGTGTCTCTGTGGGTCCCAGTGTGTCTCTGTGGGTCCCAGTGTGTCTCTATGGGTCTCAACGTGTCTCTATGGGTCTCAACGTGTCTCTATGGGTCTCAACGTGTCTCTATGGGTCCCAATGTGTCTCTATGGGTCCCAACGTGTCTCTATGGGTCCCAACGTGTCTCTATGGGTCCCAACGTGTCTCTATGGGTCCCACTGTTCACTGGAACAGGCTGCAGGGAGGTGGTGGAGTCTCCTGCTCTGCAGATGTTCCAGACCTGCCTGGATGCCGACCTGTGCGACCTGCTGTAGGGAACCTGCTTTGGCAGGGGGTTGGACTCCATGAGCTCTGCAGCTCCTTCCAACCCCTACAGTTCTGTGATGCTGTGATATCCCTCCGTTAAGCCCCACTCCTACAAAATTCCTCCCTGTGGATGTTAAGAGGGAAAACCAGAGATCTCCAGTCAAACCCAGCCCTCAGGAAGGGCCGAGCCCACGTGGCTTCTGAGCATCCACAAGCATGGAGACTGCAACACCTCTAACAGCCTCTGCACGGCTCTGTGCATCAGACCCAGCTCCACCACATGCCTTCCTCCCACCACTGGCTCTGCCTGATGTCACAGCCTGGTGCCCACAGTGTTTTGGGATCAGTGTAAGTAAGAAACACTGGCTGCAGTTCTTTCTCGCACGTCTGCCCAACCGCCTCTCCAAGCGTGCTCAACATAGCAAAATCTGAAGGGCATGTCTGGGTTGAAGAACACAAAACATCTCTGAGAATGGTGCAGTTTGAAGACTCTTCTCTGATCCTACTAAAAGCTTTTTCAAGTATGCCAAGTGAATTACTTGGGAAAGGCACCTGCCAGAGAAAAGCTACCTGTTAAATCAGAAGGTTCGGGACATCTCTAATTATTTGGTCTTTGAGAAATAAAGATCACACACGAGCAAACTCATCTGTTCTCCCTCGTGAAGCCAGAGCATCATCCCTGTTCTGCATACAGAGAAGAAGCACTGTCTGTTCAGTGTCAAAGCCTGGGGAACCTGCATGCCTCAGTCATGCACTGGAACCAAGCGGTGCTCACACTCGAGCAAGAAACCTGATGAGATCCAGCACAGCCTGTGTTCCAGACCCAACAATCTACAAGCTATTTTTCTCCTCTGCAGGCCTTTTCTGCCATTCAAACTTGTTCTCTCTCATTTATCTTTGGTGAAATTTCATTCTACAAACACCTCATGGCTTCATTGTAAGTAGAATGACACTGCAGGGAAAAGGTGGACTCAGTAACCTGGAACAGATTGCCTCTGTCACAGCGTGCCAGTCTCACTTCCTTAATTACAAGCCAAAACAAACTCCGATGGCCTTGTAATGATGCTGGGCAAACAGGGTTTAATCAGAAAGGCCTCCTAGCCAAGCCTCTCCTGGCCTGGTGAGCGGCCAGCACTCCCAGAGAAACCCAGAGAACTTCCCAAAGGCAGAAAGAGAAGATGAGTACGCAGCCTTTGTGGTCCCACACGAGCTAAGAGGAGCAACCTGTATGAGTGCTGCAGGAAGCCAGTGTCACATACAAAGCTGCAGAGCCAGCTTTGGATATTCTAGCACAAACCCAGCTGCCCAACTTGCTGACAGCAGCTCAGGGCAGCCGTGCTGCACTCACCTCCTGTTTGCGAAGCAGCTTCTGCATCACCATGTGACGGGCACTGCTGCCAGATATGCTCATGTGCTCCTGCTCACTCAGCATCTCCGGCCTCTCGGATTCCTGGAACACCTCCTCCTCTTCCTTCTCCTTCTTGACCTCCATCAGGCCCAGAGCCGGAGGACTGGCCAGGATGGGATTCACAACTCCCACCTGGGGAATGGTGACGGGAATGGGAGGGCGGGCAGGAGTAACACCTGCAAGGGAACAAATGTTGTAGCACTAAGAACTGATGTCTGGCAACATTCAGACACACATCAACTGGTGATAAGGAGGACCATAAAGCCATCTGGATAGCTTTATCTGCTCCACACCAACAACAAGCCTTAATAAGCACTCAACACATTCACATACACTTGCCCTGGAGCGAGACTGAGCGCAGGACTCTGCACGAGGTGCCATCTCACTCCCCCAGCTTCACTCAGGGCTCATGCTCTCCTGCTGTGAAGCTCGTGCCCCTGCTGTATCTATTACACACCAACATCAACTCCTGCCGCTGCACAAATTACAGTTCTCACCAAGGACAGGCAGGGAAGAGGATTTCAGCTTTACATTCTCTTTAATCTCCACTCCAGCTAGGGAGAAGTGTTTGTAACAGTTGCAACAAGTAGCACAAGGAGCAGCAAACGCACCTGTAATGACTCCCGGCGCCTGTGCTGCCATCACAGCCTGTGGCAACGCCCCCAGTGGCTGTGCAAGGGTCAGTGCAGGGGACACGAGCCCAGGGGTGGCCAAAGTGCCAAGAACTGCAGCTCCTGCCACTGCTTCCTGCAAGAAAAAGCAAGCGTTAATTCTGCATCGTTAAGACTTGCAAAGGGGGATCCAGCTGAGGCCGAGCCCTTGTCACACTTGATACCAGCTCTATGGATACTGAGCACGACAGCTCTGCAGGGCTGCTAGAGAAGCAAGAACTTAGGCCATATACAGGAACTGGAAGACATCAGGCCGTGGAAGAGAATGTTTCTCCTGCAGCTCATTTTCATCCATCCCCCCTGGGAAGCTGCCAGGACACCAAGGGTTCTGGTACAAGCTCTGCAAGGTGCAGGCAATTTCAGAGGAGGAATAACGTCTGCTTGCTCCACGTGCTGCTGAAGGTTTTCTTAAGAGTTAACCTTCCACCAGGTAACTTGTCTGATTCAAGGAATGGAGCAGCCAGAAGCACTGCTGCAAGCACAAGGGCAGGGCAAGAGCGAGCACGGCGTTCTGTACAAAAGCTGCACGCCTCCAGGTTGGCTCAAACCAAGCATCTCACCTCTCCAGTCACCCCCTGTCGAGTGCAATCGCAGCGACTGCAGACCAACATCCCGACTGAAGGTTCTGAACGGGAGAAATCGCATCGTTAACTTCTGCCACCACCATTTTTACTGGTGAAGCCCTACTGAATTTCATCCCTACCGATGATTGGAAACTTGCTTCCAACTTCCAGCCTTGATAATTCAAGAGTTTCTTAACCACCTCCTTGTGTCCACAGCTCTCTCTTACACCTTCTCGTCTTCTTTGCCTCCACGTGAACTGTGGTCTGCTGCACTTCTCAGTATTTTTCTACAGCTACTCCAGATCCCTTCCCTATTTTCTCCCTGAATATCAGTTTCCATTTTCCTGAAGCACTGTGGGATTTCTTTCTATCTTCTATATTCCACAAAAGCATCTGACTGTAGATGGCCAGAACTGAAACATTTCAGTGGAACACCTGATTAAATGAGAACTCTTCCATAAGACTGTAGGAGTTCTGGGATATACCAGGCACGTTCCAGTACTTTTTGTTGCTTTCCAGGCTATCATAGCCATGATTTACTGATCTTCATCCTTCTCTTTCTTTCTCATGGAGATCCTGCAAGTTCTGACAGATCAGTGCAAGCATTCTGTGGTTTTCGCCCTTAAATGTAGTATTTAATTTCTCCTTTCCATTACAATTATACTCCACGTTAATTACGCTTCTCATCTGTGGTGTTACCAGCTAATTTAATTAGCATTCTTCTCCCAGCGCGCACAGTAAGACCAGGAACACTTCTGTGAACGGAGATCAATAAAGGAGAGCTTCGAAGCAGCTTCACCAGGAGAGCTAAGGGTGAGCAGCTCGCAGGCAGCCCCATTTCCACCCCTCCTCACACGGCTGTGCACCTCACAACTCATTGCAGCAGCCCCACTGCTTAAGTGACAGCTGCTCTCGTGCTCATAGGTCTCCCCCAGCTCCTAACTGCTGACAGAACGTGCAGCAAGCATTCCTCCTTATCAAGTGCAACAGCACTGTTATCAAAGGAAGTTGTGTCCATTGGGCAGGGATATTGTCCTAAAACATGCAGATGTAAGAGGCAGCTGTTTCTTCCAACGTTTTTTCTTCCTTGAAAGCTGGTTTTCACCCTTTCCCTACCACTGGGGTCGGAGCAGACTGCAGGTTAATCACAGAATTAGTCTTCCACGCTGTCATGGTTCTACGGTTCTTTTTGTTTTTGGGTTTCAGTATTCCACATCCAAACACCATGCAGTGTACAGGGCATTAAAGTGTCCCTGCCCCAACCCCAGGTTCCCATCCCTGTACATGACAGCAGTCCCTGGATCTGGCCCTTCCAGGTGGGCCGCTCTCTGGCTGCCTTGCAGTGGTGCTGCAGGCGCTTTCCTGGCCGTTCCAAGCTGTTCAGGTTTGACTCGGCCCCGGGAACTCTCTCTCTCTCATCTCGTCTGATTTATTCATCTCAATTTCAATTAAATTGTATCTATTGTGTTATCTTGTATTCCGATATTACAGTAAAATAAGTTTTCCTCCATAGATTGTTGCCGCTGCTCTTTTCCTCCCTTCCTTCCTTCCCATTTTTGTGGGACTGGGGTGGTGGGGGAGGGCAGAGGCCTGCTGCCCCTGTCACGGACACACATTGATCTGGTCGGCTCTGTGACACAAAAAGGCTACCTCACACAGAAGTGCCACAATCCTTCATCACTCAGTAACAGCCCTGACTTGATGAGACTAATTGCAGAGGACCTGCATGTGCTACGACAGCTGCACGAGGCAACCTCGCACCGAGGGAGGATGCAATAACCCTGTTTGCACCCTGGGCCACTCTGCTGGATGCTCCTAATGAAGAGCAGGAACCCTTCAGTGAGCATTCAGCGCTGCACAAAGACTGTCACAATGTTGCCATCTCGGTAATTAACTGCCCAGTTTCTTCTTAAATGCTCACAGAGGTTTCTTGACTTCTGCTTCAGGGCGGGCTGTTTCCACCTGACTGTCACAGCCATCTTTGCTGCTCAGAACCTCTCTATTCCTAATGCCTTTTAAGTATGGAGGTGCTTTCTTCTTCCTTGGCTTGCGTGTGAATTCCAGAGTAAAGCTGCATTTCTGACTTAAAATTTCCCTCTCACGTTTGCCATTTCTTTTGCCCTGCTGAGTTTACTGATCAGCTTCCCTGCTTTCTTGGGCTGTAGCAAGACAGGTGGAGATCGTGCCCCCAAGGCAAGGAATGCAGACACAGGCACAGGGCCTACTCTGAAAGGTAATGTTCCATCAGTACCTATCAGTCAGTCAGAAGCTTCAGTTTGAAGAAAGTCAGTTTTGAGACTGCTGCACTGACATCCAATCCTGCTGAATCCACTGCATTTCCTGCTTTCTGAACAGCTGGAAGCCATGGCTGGCCAATTGCCACTTTGCTGTGCAATCAAGGGTCCTTTCCAACAGCACTGCTCTCGTACAACTACGACTGCTTTCAGAACTGCCTGCCCATTCACACCAATACATTCTTTTAGCTCTGCTATAACCACTTTGCTAACTGCTGACACGCCTACCCAGACAAAGAATCGTAGAATCTTTAAGAGCTGGATCTCAGCCTTCTCCTGGTCTGCTGTCACCAGCCTGCCTGTGTCACCCACTAGGAGAGGACGCCTTCCTGGACTTCCTTGTTCCGGCTGAGGCACCTGTGGAAGTTTCTCTTGCTCTTTTTGGCATCCCTTGCCAAGTTCAGTTCAAGCTGGGCCTTGGCTTTCCACCCTCACACAGCCTAGCAGCTTCCTCATATTCTTTCCACCACACCTGTCCTTGTTTCCACTGCCTGTACGTTTTCTTACTGCTCTTCAGTTGGACCAGCAGGTCCCAGTTCAGCCATGCTGGTCTCTTGCCTCCCTTTCCTGACTTGTTTCACCTGGGGACGGAGAGCTCCTGCGCCCTGAAGAAAGCCTCCTTACAGACCTGCCAGCTCTTGCCCTTACCCACCATCCTTGCCCACGAAGACAGTTTCCCAAGGTGTTGTGTTGACTCACTCCTTGAGGACCTGGAATTGAGCTTTCCTAAAGTTTAGCTTCCCGATTTTACCCTCTGGAACGTGAACTCAACCAAAGCACAGTCACTGCAGCCCAGGCGGCCTCCAATCCCGATGTCACCATCAGTTCATTTACAATGGCGAGCAACCGGTTCAGCTCTGCAGCCCCCTGGTGGGGAGGGGTTGTTCTCAGTGCACCCCAGGAGCCTCCTGGATTGCCTGCTGCTCTGCTTTTCCAGCAGATGCCCGGGTGGTTGAAGACCCCCCCCAGTAGGATGAGTGCTTGCAACTGTGACGCCTCCCACAGCTGGAGGGTTTACCGTGATGGTGGTGAGGCGCTGGAACAGGCTGCCTAGGGATGTGGTTGATGCTCCATCCCCAGGGACTTCCAAGGTGAGGCTGGATCAGGCCCTAGCAATCTCATCTAGCTGTGGCGTCCCTGTTCACTGCAGGGGAATTGGACTAGACGGCCTTCAGAGGTCCTTTCCAACTCTCAGGATTCCGTGATTCCACGATTTAAAGAATTTCTTCCTAATGTCCGTCTAAATCTATTCCCTTCCAGTCTAAAGCTGTTTCTCCTCATCCTGTCACTACGTGCCCTTATAAAAAGTCCCTCCCCAGCTTTTCTGTAGGCCCCTTCAGGTACTGGAAGGTGCTATAAAGGTCTCCTCGGAGCCTTCTCCAGGCTGAAGAGCCCCAGCTCTCTCAGCACGTCCTCATAGGGGAGGGGCTCCAGTCATCTCTGCAGCCCTCCTCTGGACCCCCCCCCAAACAGCTGCATTTCCTTCTTTGTTGGAGGCCCCAGAACTGGACGCGGTGCTCCAGGTGCAGTCTCACAAGAGCTGAGCAGGGGGGCAGAATCACCTCCCTTGCCCTGCTGGTCACACTCCTCTTGGTGCAGCTCAGGGTACAGATGACCCTCAGGGCTGCAAGTGCACACTGCTGGTTCACGTTGAATCTTTCATCCACCGATGCATCCAAATCCTTCTCCTCAGATGCTCACAAGTGTCCTGGGCAAGTTTTACATGTGGAGTCCCAGAATCAGACTGACCAAGGCCAAGAGTCTCCACTCAAACTAGCGAGGACAACTGGCTGGAAGAGCATGCATGCTTCTTTCTAGCAGGGGGGCAATAACCACCCACCTCCCTCAGTGGCTCCAGCCTGTGTCTTACCTGTGCTGTGATCTTTGCTGTCGCAGCTGCAGCAGCAACAGCTGCTGCTGGAGGCAATCCCCCTGGTGTGGCAGGTGTCAGGAGAGGCATCGGAGGAGTCACAGCTTTACCAACTCGGAGATATTGACCCCCAAGGTCAAAGAGGTTCATGGAGGAAACAGCATCTTGAGAAGACTGCGCCTTCTCATATTCTGCAACGAGAAGGAGGAATATTTAACTTCCGAATTCAACACTCTCACTGCACAGATGTGATTCGTATTTGTGAAAAACAGAAAACAAGCCAAGAACACACAAGGAAAAGTGACTTGAGAGCTCCAGCAAGAAGTCCCTCATTGCTTAGCCTGCTCAATTCAGCCCTCTGATTGCAGAGGTGTTGAGAACAGTAGATGCAGTAAGACCACTTAATCCAAGTACTGAGTAAAAACATGAGACTACTCATTACATTTCTAAATACAGGTGCTTATCTGCTCCAAATTTATCTCTGTCCCACTGCTTCAAGTAATTCTTGCACTGAATTAAGATCGGCGAGGACGATCCCAGCAACTTCCTTTACCCCAGAGCAAATATCAGAGAGCCATTTTACCAATGAAACCATAGCCTTTGTGTTTCCCTGTTGTGGGATCCCTGGCTAGCGTGCAGGATTTGATCTTTCCGAAGGCCTCAAACACGCTCTTGATGTCATCATCTGACAGGTCCTGATGTACCGAAGCCACGTAGATGCGGTTGAAAGCCCGTGCCTCTTCTGCCAGTTGGTCTATGATGGGCTGTGCCTGTCCTATGTTGCTCGGCCTCCCCACCTGCAGAGAACACAGCAGGCTGTGAAGCAGTCTGAAGGGCAGCAGCACGACTTGCCGAGACACAGCAGGCAAACACTGCAACAACCACTTCCTCTTCAAACCACACAACCCCTCACAGTGCCAGCAAGGACAACAGCTGGCTCTCAGCTCTGGGACACAACCTGCACCACGATTCCTCAAGTGTGAACAGCCTGCACTGAGCGCCCTCCCTCCCACCACGGCTTCCCTCAAGTTAAGCAGTTTCGTTCCCTGACCTGCAGAAGAGCCACTTCCAGGATGTAAAAACAACCCCAGAAGCAAAACGCGACGCTTTACGGCCTTCTTTTCAAGAGCCCTAAAAGCCCTTGGAAGCAGCACACTGCAAAAACGCATCCGAGAAATGCAAGATAGAAAAAATAAGTCACAACAAAATACTGACTTTCACCCCAAAATTTCAATCTCCAAAGTTTCACCTTTTAGAGATCATCTGTTACTGCCTGAACGTACGCAGCTACAACTACTGCTCTTTTTAGTCTGTGCTGAAGGGTGGAGTGGTACTCGAAGTTCCTCACTCTGCTGAGGAACAGGAGTCTGATGCTACCACCTCTCACCCACAGCTGCACTGTACACAAAGATGCACGAAGCATCAGGGATCATAGTTGGGTTTGTCCTCGAGAAATTCTCATGGTGTGTGTGTGTGTGTAACGCTGCCAGCTCACAAGAACACGTTTCCTGATTTATTAGCATGCTACAGGGGTCTGGTGAGGGACCAACAGCCACTGTGCATTGAAAATGAAGATCTGTCAGGGAAGATTTCAGATTATCTTCTACAGAACAGCTTGATAAGAAGCACTTCTAGGCAAGAAAGTCTTTATTCACAGTAAAGAGAGCTGAGAGCTTTCAGAGCACGCCTGCTACTCACCTTTATATTCCTTCCTCCCAGCATGACAGAATTCATCTGCTCCAAGGCCAGCTGTGCAGCTTCAGGCACCTCGTATTCCACAAAGGCAAACCCCTAGGACAGAAGGATGCTCGTGTTCAGCCCTGCCAGCTGCACCTTGTCTCGACACCGGTGCCAGCTGACACAGCCAAGACTTCCCATCTACCCGATTCTGACTGTTGTGGCCTGACAGGACTTCAAGGAAAAGGAATCAGAACTGAAAACTGCATGCTGAGGTGCAGATCCAAGGCCACTCGTTCTGTTTTCAGAGCCTCTCAGACCTAGAGACCTAACAGACACTGCACACAGGGCTGCCAGCCGTTCAGCATCTTCTGTGCACATCTACAGAGTCCCGAGCAAACCAGGTAGAGCAGGCAGCTACGAACATTTATCTCAAGTCAGAGCACTAAAGCAGCCACCCATGGGAATAAAGGCTCCTTCTGCTCCTTGATCAATTCCGTGAGGCCTTGGAGAAAAGAAACACACGCGTCTCAAGGGCTGCTGACCAACCTTGTGCTTCATGGTAACAGAGTCCCAGGACATATCAATGCTTTTTATAGGTCCAAACGGGGCAAAGGCCTGGCGAATGGTGTCTTCTCCCAGCTCATAGTATATGGAGCCCACATAAACACGACACATGATGGCCAAGGCGCGCTGCCTCTGGGCTGCCATCTGTATTGGAAAGAAGAACTGTCTGGTTAGATCGGGGGGTGGCCACGGACGTCAGGACCTCCTCCCCTTCCTCCTTCCCTCCCAGGAGCTCTGACCCAACAGCAAGTAGCTCCTCACTGGGCTGCAGCACAGCCTGGCACACGCAGTGATAAAGAAGTATTTTCCTGCTCAATGCACAGACTGCTGGAGCGGATAAGCGGTACAGCTCACTCCCGGGGCAGTCAAATCTTTGCTGGGGTCTGCCACCGCAGGAGCCTTAACTCCAACCCCAGTGACAAGGTCTGACCCTCCCCAGCGTGATCACATCTCCAGCAACGCTTGCAGGAGGAGGAAATGACTTCATTTTAGGACGGCCTACCCCCTCCTGGCAGCAAAGGTCTCAGCTCTAGGCACTACTGCGCTCCCTCCCGCTCCCTCCCTCATGGGGCAGCAAGAGATCCAGCACTGGGCACCACCTGGTCACTCCCTCCCCCCCCATCCTCCCAGACAGCAAAGGACCTGGAATTGGGAACCTCCTCCCCACCCCCTCGAGCATCACACACCTCCTCCTCCCCCTCCACCCACCCCAGGCAGTATGAGATCCAGTACTAGGCACCACTTCCACCGCACATTGCAAAAGGAAAACAAAACAAAAGCTAAAGGAAAAACAACAAAAAAAAAGAAAATAAAATAAAAAAGTTAAACGAAACTTCTTAGTTAAGTGTGTGGTGCTAGTACTTATCACTGCCTGTCGTTACTGGCTCAGATAGTGGTGCAGCCCCCCAAGGCTCCGCCCTTATCAGTTTCGGTGCAGAGAAGGTCTCTGTGCTACTTTCTCCTAAGTATGCCTGAAAACCTGTTTACAAGACAAATCCAGACATTTCTTAAAGCAGGTATCCAATCAAGCAGTATCCTTCAATTATTTTTCACCCACATTGCAATGCTAGAATGGCTAATACCAATTAACATTATCTTAGGAAGACGCTGCCTACTAAAGTCACAGCTTTGGCCAGCACGTCCTACGAGCACGTCTTGGGACCAAGGCAGAAGGGCAGTCTCTGGAGAGGCAGCTCCCTACAACCAGCAGGACTGAGTTCCTGTGTTGGAGGTGTGCACAGGGCCGTGCTGCTGTTCTGCGTGGAACAGATGGGACAAACGTGGGGCAGGAAGGCCCACAGGCTGGAGCAGAGCAGGCAGCGTTAAGCTCGATGCCTCTCCCTTCCCAGCACCACGATTCCTGGCTCAAAGGCGGGCAGTGCTGGACATCCACCCCCACCACTGGTGGTGAAGGGGTCTGCAATCGAGGCCTGGATGAGTGACCCTCTTTCAGAATGCTGTAACAAGCATGAGCACAATGAGCTCTGACGTGTCTGGGGACGCCACGGCTGGCATGGCAGAGCAGAAGGGCAGTGTTCCATCTTTGACAATCGTGGGACTGTAGACATGAACCGTACCTGAAGGAATTCTTCTCCCTGACCATGGGAGGAAACAAGCGGTGAAGGTTCAACTCCTACCGCTGCACAAAACAGGGATGCTATAAACAGGAACGGTTCTCACCCCATACGGCCGCTCCTGAAGCGATATTAAACTTGCCTCTTGGTTGGGTTTAAGTATTTCACACAATTAAAGACCAGCCGTTTGTCAGCAGCTCTGCAGTGCTGTGGCTGGGAGGACCAGGGCACGAGCACGACAGGGGACGTGTTGTCTCCTAGGTTCTCCACCACCTTCCCAGCTTTGGTGCACGAAAGCCAGTGCCCAGCAGACCCTCAGTGCGTGCGCTGCATCCATTCATCGGTTCAGAGCCACCACCATTCCGACCCCGTGCCTGAGCAAAGTGCCTCACCACACTGACACAGACTGTGAGACAAATGCAGGGTGCTCTCAGACAAGACACTGCAGCCCTGCGCCGGGCAGAGGCAAACGCCACCTTCTGAAGACTGGGTTTAAAAATCAACGGGCTCCCTTCTTTTCAGTTCTCGGTGCAACGGTGGCAAGAAATGCGGCCTCTGCCCCCTCCCACGGCAGCAACCTTTAGGAGAGGATGCACATCTTGCACTGCTGCACGGATTCTGAAACAGGTGGGGCCACGTCAGGGCTGTTACATCTGGAACACATTGGCAAACAGGACTGACAAAGGCAGAATTTTAGACAGATATCATGGCTGCAGGCACACGCGGGTCACTGACACGGTTCAGCAGCACCAATTTGGGGGAAGGACGTAATGTACACCTGTGTGTCTGAAACTCACGGGCAGAAATGCATTGGCTTTCACTGACTACATCAAGTTGTTTTTGCTGGCCACTGATCCTCTTGCTCCATCTCCAAACGGAGCTTCAGGTACCCGCAATCCTCATCACACGGGCACCGGTTAATCTTTGCATCAGTGTAATGTTGTGAAGTGTTTATGAAGGTGATTTTAAGGAGAAGCCAAAACATCACCTCGGAATGCTGCTTTTAAGTGCAGGAGGCGATGCAAAACCATCACCACCAGCCTCAGTTTTAACACAACAACGCCAGGAAATTGTGCTCATCTTGCTGATGCAAAATTGAAACCTCGAGCTGTAACGCTTGGAGGATTAAGTAGACAGGAAGCTTTAGTGACAGGCACTAAGATATCCCAATGGGAAGCTCAGGCTGCACTTCCTTCACATAGGAAATGAGGAATCTCACCCACAGGACGTGTTGGACGCAGCCAATCTGCATTTCCTACATTCCTGAGGGGCAGCTGCTGGGCAGAGCCCAAACGCAGCGATTCAGGCTCCTGCCTCCAGGTTCTGCCCCTCCAGCAGCACTCTCTCCAAGTGCCCGCAGCCTGAGGGAAAGGATTCGTAACACCAACTCTGCCCCTCGTGAGAAATCAGTCATTTCCTGCCACGCCGTCGCTACGTACTTTTCGTCTGCTGCCCATCTGTTAATGAGCTATACAATTTAAGCAAAAATCGGTGGGCTTAAAGCTGTAAGTAAGCATCTACGTTAACTGGTAAAGGTTTCTTGGGCACAGGGGCTCAGAAACCGCCTGTGCAGAATCCACATTGAGATACCTGCTCCTGTTCCATTCCACACATCCATCAGTTTCATCTAGGCTGCCCTGCTGACACGCTACCTCCCCCGACAGCATTACAGGAGGGGAAACGGGCAGTTTTACTTTTGGTTTACACTTTGGAGGACAGGCCACCAGATGCATTGGACTCCAAACAGAAACGTTACGTTCCAACAAGATGGAAAATACTTGCAAATGAACCTTTGCATGCAGAGTGGAGCTTATGGGACACTTTCTGCAGCGGCCACTGTCCAACACATCTAGGAGAAAGGAGGGGGTGGATAATGCCAGGTAATCAGAGCCACCGAGTCCTCTGTGATGGCTCATCAAGGACGGCAGCACTAAAGAGACACAGGTGAGCTGAGCAGCTCTGCTCTTCTGCCACTTCCACCACGCTTTCGCTCGACTTGAAACATACCGTATTCCCCTAGTCTGGACATTCGTACAGTGAGGACACTCTCACACCTTGGCTACAGCACGTTCTGCGAGCCTGCAGTGCCCCAGCCTTCCCCAGCACTGCGGCTGCCAGGTTTCTGCTGCTGTCAGTTTGCTTCGTTAAGAAATTGCCCATTTTTTGAGTTACCTTGGCAGTTAGTTTTAGGTCAGGACCTCAGAACTGCAGCGTCCCTAGAAATGCAGCTCCCACAATTTCACAGGTGTGTTCAGTACTGTTCGAAATCTAAAGCTGTCTTTGCCAACTGACTCCAGGGCCCCGACTGCCCGTGTCCCAGCAGACTGCACTCAGCCCACAGGGTCTTCCTCTGGGGAGTTTACACTTTGCCTCTGCTTGCTGTGCTTGTCCATAACAGGTGGGTAAGTGGGAGGGTTGTGCTGGGTTGAATTAAGAGCATTGTATCACCGCTACATACTTCCCCATTCTAGTCCCTGACTAAGTGCCCAAGAAGAAGTGAATATGTCTATTGACCGATTGTAAAGGTGAGAGAGGATCTCCAAAGCCCATTGTCACTGCTGCCATCTGAAAGACAGTAAAGACAGAGTTCAGTCTGTTGGAGCTGAGCATACTACGGCTGTTTGTACAAACTCAAGCAGAGCGGCGGCACAGGGAACCTGTGAGAGAGGCCTCTCCTTCCTCGCCCCTCACTGCCTGGTCCCAAGGACTGTCCAGCGCTGGGACCCTGCAGATTCCAGGCCACCAGGTCAGGGTGGAGTTGTGCTGCTGCCACTGCCTCAGGAAGCAGGGTCTTCTCCCAGGGGGGACTCAAGGCAATAGTAACCTCTGCAACCACTGTCGTTGACTCACCCCCAGCATTTAAAAAGAAGCCCCTCGAACTAGAGCGGCCACTCAGAAACACGCACGGCCCTGACAGGCCGGAGCTGCCTAACGTGGCAAGCACATCCACAGTGACACTTCATTAACACATCTGGACCCCAGAACCATTATTTTGGGCTTCCCAACTGAATAGAAAGCAGTGAGACGTGTTGAGATCTCCAGCGGAAGGGAGATGTAAATGGCAGTTCAATTGCAATCCTTTCCCAGGACGAAAGCATCGCAGCCTAAATTTCAGGAGCAGCCAATGACTTCCCAGCGAGGCCGGCAGGGCACCCGGCTGAAGGGGAAGGAAGTGGGGCAGCACGTCAACAACAGAGGAGAGAGGGCACCCTCCCCTGCAGAGGGAAAGATGGTGAAAGGATACTGATCTCAGTAACCCCAGACACCACCTCACGTGTAAGCTGAGGGGGAAACCCACAGCTAATTCTTTAGCTTCTGGCGTTTTGAGAAGTGTTTGGCCAACTAACAGGAGAGAAACTCTTAACGATTTTCTCTTTGGATACGTGAAAGTGGGGGGGCAATTTGTACAGGTGAGCAAAGGGCATTTCTTTAGAGGGCTGAAGGCAGTATACTTCGATTTCACTGTGGAAATGGAAGTGCTTGTACCTGGCTCCGGGCATGCCTCAGGGCTGTGCTCTGCTTCTAAGTGTAAAAAGAACTCCACCTTGTTGGGGAGAGTAAGACAGAAAGAGCATCTGGGAAGGCCTCTCACCTGCAGGTTGGTTAGCTGTTGTTGCTGGTGGGCGATGGTTTGCTTCACCAGCACACTCTTGATGCTCTGCTCCATCGCATACTTCTTTGCCTACGAGGAAATACAGGCTCTGTAATCACCAGGCGATACCACAGAACACGGAACGACGTCCGACTTCACACCATCGCTCCCCAGAACCACACAACTGGCTGCCAATGGTGCTTTTTGGTGCTCCAGCCCTAAGCACTACGGCACGGTACGTTAGGCAGCAGCCAGCAGCTCGCTAACGTCTCGGTCTGCATCTCGGAGTTGCAAGCCCTGAAATACAGCATAATGCTTGAGCAGAGGGTTGGATGGACTCAATCTGCAGCAGGCGCAATGTTAGGAAAGCAGCATGCACTACACACTCAGTATTTCCCCTCTTCCTCCCTCTGCCCCTCAGATCCCACCGCAGCACCTTACCTGCTGGGATGAGGGCAGCACAGATTGCCTCCTTCAAATCCTTTCCACTCAGAACATCTGGACAAAGAGGTTCTACGGAAGGGAAAGGGGCTCCTAACGCCCGCGCCCAGGCTCTCGGCTACGCGCTACCCCTCCCTCGCCTCACTGCATCTGTCCTCTTCCGACTCGAGGGACCCACTGCTCACGCTCACTGAAATGCTCCAGCATTCCAGCTCCTAGCCTATGGACACAAAGCTGATTCCTCTTTTTTCTTTTTTTTTTTTTTTTTTTTTTTTTCCAGTCTTCTAGAACTCTGACAAGGCCCAAGCGTTACACCAGCGGTGTCAGAATGGTGGCTCTTTGTCAAAGGAAACCTAACACCCACAGACGTGCCTGTGCCCACGGGACACACACTTTCAGCCAAAACCCCTCAGGCACCTGCTGTCCATGGCTGCACGTGTTTGGGAGGTGCCAGGGAACAGTAGGCTCTAAACCGTGGCTTTGAGACGCGTGCTTCGGTAACCTGGAAATGGACAAGGGGAGGATGTACATCTGTCAGCTACGGAGAAGCCAGAGGAAACGAGGCCGTCTCACACTGTGAGCCAAACACACACACAGGCAGCTTCAGCACAACGGGAACATTCACATGAAGCCTACCCACAGCAACGCCAGCCTCACCTCACCAGGATGCGGAAGGCGCCTACCCCACAGCTCCCACACCCCCTGCTTTGCTTCTCTTTCTCCCCTTTTCCTCTCAGCAGCAAAGTGGGCCGCAGGTCAGCAGTAAAGCTCCCCACCAGCCGCACAAAGCGGGTCCAGGAACAGAGCCGGACTGAAGTTTCATCTACATTAGGGCTCGGGTGGGACTGCAAATTGCTGCGTGCTGCTGGGTGTCCTCACGTGGAAAGGAGGATAAGGGGACAACAGATATCGTGTGATGCTCCTTGCGTGGATGAAGTGAGAGAGCTGGAGCATATCAGAATCCCACTGCTCGTGGTGCAAGGCTGCTCCTCACGGGAACTCTGTGGCGGTTGCACATCGTCTCAGAATTGCAGTGTGATCTGAAGGCGTTACGATTTGGGTTTATAAAAAAACAAATTACAGCTCCTACCCCGATGGTCATTCCAGGATGTGCTCTCCAAGAATCATCTTTAAACTGCAAGCTAACCCAAGCAATCCTTGGGCGCAACGCTGAAGGTGTGAATGCACAGGGAGCACGCGCATTCCCCCTGCGCGCTGCTGGCAGGTGAGCTCTGCTCTTGTAACAATAAAGGCGTGTTTCAAAACACAGCAAAAAATAGCAACTGTCAAGCAAATAAAACTAAACCAAACACGTGAAACCAAACGAAGAAGAAGAAGAGTGATGGAGTGCGAGACACAGAGCGACGTGGGGTAAACTCACCTTCTGGAGGGCCTCCTGCTGCTCGGGTGTGAGGGGGGGGAGCCCCAGTTTGGCTGCTGTGCTTTGACCATTTTCCATCTTGATGGACTCTGTACCCTAAGGAAACAGAAAAGCACTCGTGGAAAAGCTGTTCTGACAAAACCACACAGATTTTGTATTTCCAGAATACCAACGTGCCAGCGCTGGCTAAAAAGCCTTCCCAAACCTGCTGGTGCGTCATGGAAACCTGCACTGCAACAGGAACGCTGAGGCCCCTTCCCACAGAGCACCATCCAGCCACAAGGTGACAAACAGGTTGGCAGCTCAATCTGAACAGTTCCCCAGCCATCATATTTGCAACAAAGAAAAATTAAATAGCTCCCAGCCTTCACTTCTACCACCTCCATCCCACCCGCTGCTCCGCCAAACATCATCGCCCGTTCTCTCCATCACTCCTCACACCGCTCTGTTACCCTCAGTTTCTCTTCTTCAATGTTCCCTCAGTTCTCCACATTAAAACACTGCTGTAGGTCCCAAGTCACACCACCACTGTTCTCAGCCCTGCTACGACACACATCAGCTGCACGTGCAAAGTCCCTCACCCAACACAGGAATACAAGGAGCTGCTGGGCTCCTGCACTAACTTCTCACGTTATCACTGATGTACGAAATCCTTCTTTGGGTTTAAGGCGTCCTACTGCCTTCATGCCGTGTTTTATACCAAGCTTCCTTCTTGTGAAACAGCCAACCCATTCTTTTATCACGTCAGGTAACAACAAGCCTCCCTAAGGCACGCACGGCTCCCTGCTAAGCACCTACCAACTCGTGTTCTTAACACGTCCCCTGCCCTCGCAGTCCCCAGCACATCACTGCTATGCTCATCATTAAAGCCTACTGATGCGTACCTCAGTTCTGCAGTTACAAATACAGAACGTGTCAGCGGTCCCCAACAAGAGCAGTACTGGGGAAAAGGAAAAGAAAAAGAAATGGACCCGCTCAGGTTCACTCAGTAAAACAAGAGCAGCTCTCCTGGCACAGCAACAAAGCTGTCCCATGGGAACAAACAACAGTTTGGATGGAAGTAACCAGCAGCTTAGCAGCAGTACTGCCGTTCCTTCTGCTCACCTGGTCCCATCCATTCAAACCCAGCACTGACAGTGAAGAGTTTTCCCCTACAGGCACAAATGCTTCTGACACACTGGGGTCCTCCCCACAGGAAGGATCTCACTGATGCATCGAGGTCTCACAGCCCTGATCCCAAAACAGAGACCAGCAAAGAGCTGCTCCTTGCAATCGCCCGATGCCTCGCTCTGCCAAAAGCAAAAGCTCCACGCCGCATCTGCCCGCAAACTCTGCACTTCTCTGCGTTCTCTTTATGCCACCACGAGCAGAGCAGTGCTAGCAGGCTGCTGCTGCAGCTCCCTGTGAGATGCAGGGCTGTGTTACAGCCAGCACCAGCACTGGGGCTCAGGCAGGCACACACTCGCCCCCCTAAGGAGCCACACGCACTGCGAGAACGCTCTAACACTTTAACCAGCCAAATTCCTTCCATAGCAGTGATGGACACCACCTCAACACCAATGCAGCTCCAGTACCTTCGTGTTATTCTCAATACAGGCTAATGATTTGATTTTTAAATTGCCGTGGAAATAACAGAGGTTGCCAAGTTCAAGAGGTGAACAGCAGAGAGAAGGCAAATGCCACATATCTGTGTTCTCAGCAGACACCCTGAGGTACAGAGCCAACACAGCCATCCTCGAGCCCTCCGCTGAGAAAGGTGGAAGAAAGGCCCCTCGGCTCAGGGCCTCCTCTGCATCCTGCTCACCTACAGAACCGCCAACTCCGCCTGCGCCCAGAGCAGCTCAGACACAGCAATCCTTAACACCAGTGCCACCAAGTGCCTCCCCTGAGGGCTGGCACCCCCAGCTGCACCCCAAGGCCCACTGCTCCATTCACAGCCAGCACAGAGCTCTGCACCAACAGCTGGGGCTGCCCCAGGACTGCAGCTCCCTTCTCCAGAGGCAGCGATGCCACCCATCCTCCCACCGGCAGACCTGGGGCAAAGCACTGCTGATCGGTGCTTAGCCAGCTCATTAACCAACCTCTTGTTTCTCAACCTGGGCACAAAGCGGGGTGGCATCCCTTCTGAGACAGACTTCTAGAGGTGTCTGTGCCTCGTGCCTGTCCCTGTCGGTGTTTAGAACACATCTGGAAAATGCCCTCAGTGATGCTCCGACTTCAGGCTGGTCCTGAGGCAGCCTCACAGCCAGACCCACCCCTGCTGCAGGCCTCACTATGGGGACCATTCCAGCCTAGCTGACAGCCACCAGAGCACCCTGCTGGACTGGGGATTCCTTACCACGAGGTAAACGGTGCTCGTCTTCCCGACAGAATCCTGCTCACTCCTTGTGCAGACCTGCTCTGACTTCCATTCACACAGACACACCGCACCATGGCAGAAGCTGCTTTCCTGCAGACTCAGAGGAAGGAGTGAGAACGGACCACAGCACCGCAGCATCACAGCTGCAGCCACCCATCCCACATCAGGACTGCACCCTGGGCCTGAAGCCACACACCTGCCCTGCTCTGCTGCTCCCGTCAGCTCCGCCTGCATCATTCCTTAAAGCAGAACTCAGCTCCCCTCCCAACCCAACTGAGAATTCCAGAATGGACAAATATCCCCACCTGCCTGGCAGCAGAGAGGTACCAGGCTGAATGGACCTCCCTCCGCATGCAAAGTGCTACCAGGGTAAAAATTACCACGGAGCAAACCTCAGATGAGGACACAAAGCATGAACGTAAGCCATTCACCCACAGAGCAGCCACTTCACCCACTGAAAGGTTCCTCCCAGTTCAGCCACCAGTGTCAGAGTACCACTGAATGCTGCCTGCATGCTGCCTCCCAGCAGGGCAGCGAGCTGCACACCAGGACAGCCAACGGAGCTGCAGGGCGAGCTCAGTGACATCCAGAGATGCCCTAGGTCATCCACAGCCTGTTGCACAGCAGATCCTGACCGTGTCTCAGCCACGAGCTCATCCTAAGGGAGTTGTGAGCATTTTCTGGTATAACAGACATCAAGCAGACGTGAAATAAACTCTCCTAATGTAAAAATCCTCTGCACGAATGCCAAAACACAACATTCTGGAGTTGCAATTGCTTCGCTGGACTGCATGGACTGTGGTTCACAACACCATGAAATAACGCACAAAGACCTGAGGTGAATTAAAAAGAGCAAAAAGAAAAGCTGACACACAAATAAGAACAGCGGCAGTTGGAATCACTGCAGCCTTCCAACTGGGAAGCTCAGGAGCACACGGCTGATCAGAAGGAAGCACTGCAGGGCCCACACTACAACTGAGAACAGGAAGCAATCAGCAAAGCCATACGGCAACGGCGATCTGTGCAGGGCAGGAAGGCTTCGCCGTCTCCAGGATTCATTGCGACCACGGAACACTGAAAAAAAGCCAGTGTGCTTCCCAAGCGTGTGAGGGTAACAACAGCACCAGGAAAAGCCTCAGCACGATGCAGGTGGAGCTGTCAGGCAGCAGTGGGACAGCAGCTCTGGGAAAGCAGGCTGTGCTTCACCCCTTGCAAACTGCCTCATCCAACAGCAGAGAGCAACAGGAACGTGTGTCACACTGCCAGCAGGAGGGAGAACGCGAGCTGCCTTCACAGAGAGAGAAACACAGAGTACACCTGGTGCTACGGACGCTGCTTCTGAGCGCTGTGAGGCCTTTGCCTGGTTTGAACTCCAAGAGTTCAGGCGCATCTCCTGGAAATCTACTCCAGGGCTCAGAACCTCCCTGGAGTACAAACACACACAAGAGAAAACAAAAACAGAGGCTCGTTTATTTTAGGAACCGTAGCAAGTGAGCGACACAGGAGATGAAATAAGGTAGGAGTGGAAAAAGGACTGATGGGATAGATGAGTGGACAGTGAGGTGGGTTGAGAACTGGCTGACTGGCAGAGCACAGAGGGTCGGTGGTGGTGGTGCAGAGTCCAGTTGGAGGCCTGTAAGCAGCGCTGTGCCTCAGGGGTCGGTGCTGGGTCCGGTCTTGCTCAACATCTTCATCAGTGACCTTGATGAGGGGATGGTGGCCACCCTCAGCAAGTTTGTGATGATACGAAGTTGGGAGGATTGGCTGAAGGCCGTGCTGCCATTCAGCGAGACCTGGAAAGGCTGGAGAGCTGGGCAAAAAAAAACCGGATGAGGTTTAACAACAGCAGTGTAGAGTCTTGCATCTGGGGAGGAAGAATGGCATGCAGCAGTACAGGATGGGGGATGAGCTGCTGGAGGGGAGCTCTGCGGAGAGGGAGCTGGGTGTCCTGGTGGACGACAGGTTGCCATGAGCCAGCAGGGTGCCCTTGTGGCCAAGAGGGCCAATGGCATCCTGGGCTGCATTGCACAGAGCGTGGCCAGCAGGTCGAGGCGATGCTCCCCCTCTGCTCTGCCCTGCTGAGGCCTCACCTGGAGCACGGCGTCCAGTTCTGGGCTGCCCAGCACCAAACAGACAGGGATCTCTTGGGAAGAGTCCAGCGGAGGGCCAAAAGATGGTGAGGGGCCTGGAGCATCTCTGCTATGGAGAAAGGCTGAGTGAGCTGGGGCTGTTCAGCATGGAGGAAAGAAGGCTGAGAGGGGAGCTGATCCAGGTCTGTGAATATCTGAGGTGTGGGGGGCAGCATGGCGAGGCCGGACTCTGTTCAGTGGGGAGTGGAGGCAGGACGAGGGGAAACGGCCGGAAATGCAGCATAGGAAGTTGTGCACAAACATGCGCAAGAACTTCTGTACAGTGAGGTGACGGAGCACTGGAACAGGCTGCAGGGAGGTGGTGGAGTCTCCTTCTCTGCAGATGTTCAAGACCTGCCTGGATGCCAACCTGTGCGACCTGCTGTAGGGAACCTGCTTGGGCAGGGGGTTGGACTCGATGAGCTCTGGAGGTCCCTTCCAACCCCTACAATTCTGTGATTCTGTGATACTTGAGGAGTAATTTGCCAACAAGAAGCTTCACTAAAAGTACTTTGCTATAGAAGTGGTTATTCCTCACTCTGCTCACATCAGTGGCTGGAGGGCTGTGCTCATCACGGCCTGCTCACACCGCACAGCCCCACAGCAGGGAGGCTGAAGAGCCACCAGCCCAAGGCTGTGGCAAAGGCAGTGCTTTCATGTGCACGACAGATTTAACTCCCAGAAAAGACCTCAACGTGCTCAACAACCACCACCTCGGCTCAACCACCACCACCTCGGCTCAACCACCACCACCTCGGCTTCTGGCTCGCAGCTGCAACTCGAACTCTGTAAGTCCTTCTGTGCATGGCGCCCTTTCACTGCTCCTCACCCCAAATTGCTGCTACCAGGATGGGAGCTCAGCAGCGCCCGTGGGCACCACAGCAGGGAGTGCAATGAACGTGCTGCAAAACACAAAGTGTGCAGCACATGCAAGGTCCTTCCATCAGCACTGCCAGGTGTGCTACACACAGAACAGGCAGGCATTTAAAAGTCCCCAGACATCCTGTGCCCAAAGCGCTTCAGTAACCACACGTTTGTGTGAGCAACATCTGTTTCATTGAAGCAAAGAAGGAAATTCTACAGCATGCTTCAGTGATGCTATCTGGCAGCATACTCAATTCTCCCGGAGCTCCAAACTCAACACAAGTCCAACTTCTGCAAACACAGTCCTCAAAACACACACACACAGGAACCACGATCCCCTGACACAGTTCTCACCATGCTTTGTAAATGACTCCCAGCTGCACCAGAACTGAGCCATTAAAACCAACACTGTTCTGGGTGTTACCTTCACACGCAGTACGCACTGCCCTCCTGACCACCATCAGGGCAGACGGAGGTTGGATGTCAGGGGAAGTTCTGTGCTGTGAGAGCGGTGAGGGGCTGCAACAGCTGCCCAGAGAGGCTGTGATGCCCCGTCCATCCCTGGAGGTGTTCAGGTTGGATGGGGCCCTGGGCAGCCTGGGCTGCTGTGAAACGGGGAGGTTGGTGGCCCTGCTGTGGTGGGGGGTTGGAGCTTCACCATCCTTGGGGTCCCTTCCAACCCAGTCATTGCGTGACTCTGTGATCTCAGCCCCTTGGCTGCGACTGCCCAATGGAGCGTCAGTGTGCCAGCCACGAAGCACAGCAGCTGGGAGGACAAGGCCCAGAGCTGGCTGCACAGCAGCATGCTGGGGCACCCAGAGGTACTGCACTAAGGCAGCATTTGCAATGAAATGACATCAAGAGCCAACAGTCCAAGCTGTAACGTGCAGGGACATTCCCACAGCACTGCTCTCACAGCACAGGTCTGCATGGTGCAGGTGCACCTGCTGCTGTCCAGGCCCTAAAGAACAGCTGAGAAGGGCTCAGCATTGGGCATTCAAACACTGCTCAGCCTGACTGACACGTGGGCCGTGGCAAGAAAGGAAGAGATGCCAATACAGACACCATGCCACGTGAAACACTGCGTCACCTGTCTGCCTGTCCTGCAAGCAGAGACACACGGCCTACAGTAATAACAGGGATGAAGGGATCCAAAAGAAGCGCTGAGAAGTAAATGCAGATGGAGGAGAAGAAACAGCAGAGCTGCCCCAGGTAAACAACAGTAACGCCGTGGGTAAGGAAACGCCCTGACAGAGCTTTGGTGCCAACTGACTGCGTGTGGCATCAGAAAATTAGAGCTGGAAGATCAGCTCAGTACAAAGCCAGCGTCTACATGAAGTTCAGGTGTGGGAAATGAGGGTCCATTTTCTCAGTGACACAGAGATCAGGGAAAGAGCAAGCTGGGGAAGGAGCGATGGAAGAAGCCAGATGAAGAGAGATTTGTCTGCTAACACGGCGTGATGTTTACATAAAAAGCATTCAACAATGTGAACTGAATGCCTGGTAAATCTGTGGCACCAGATAAGCACGCGATGAACACGAAAGCGATCCGACACTGTGCAGCTTTCACAGGATTTATAACACCCAATTCAATCTCCTTAAGAGATGCGTTGCTTTTGACAAAGGAACATCCTCTCCTTTCCATTTTTTACTGTTTTCCCAAGTAACTGCTTCCAGTACAACAGCAGAGCCCATGCTCTGAAAGTCCCCACTCAGAAAGTAAGCTGGGAACAAAACCTGTGCTTGCAAAACCCCAGAGCTCCGCTTGTTTGTCTTCACTGAACTTATTTTTCCTTCACTCTCCAGCCTTTCCAGCCAGCCACCAAATCTCAATTGGCCCTGAGCAGAAAAGCACTGCGGCTGCACTGAGAGAAGCAGTTTGTGCAGCAGCGCTGGCCTGACCCCAGGCACATCAGAGCAGCCTCCCTGCCAGCACAGAGGGGAGACCTGAAGCAGCCAGAGGCACCGACCCCGAACTCGGAAGGAAAGGTGCCACTGATCACACAGCACGACTGACGGCTGGGATGTTCAACTCAGTCTGGATCTTAAGGACTAGAAACAAGTGTGGGTCAGTACAGACACGCAGTGCCTCCAAGCCCAGTGAATTAACACTGCGCTGGATGGTCGATCCAGCTGGTTCCCAGTAAGATCAGAACAAAACTCACACAAAAACCACACAGACCATTGAGAATCCCTTCATGCCACATCCACACCTCTGAGAGCTGCGTGGAAACGGGCCTCCATCACCCCCGTGGGCAGCCTGCTGCAACTCACGAGCGCTCTGTTTGTGAAGAAGTCACAAACCCAAAGCACGGGCGCCGTTCCTCATCTCCCATCCCCATCACAACCTCAGGTGTCCCTTCAGCCCCAGGACTGCTGCTGCCAATTTCTGGCGTTCACCCACGCATCAATGCTGCCTCCCAGCTGCTGCTGCCACGGACAGCCATTAGAGGAACCTACATTGAATTGAATGTCATAGAGCCAAAGTTAACTCTCAGTGTTACAAGAGTAACACCAGGATCATTAAGGCCGGCTTGGGCTCCACGCAGTGCTTTGTCTGCGACAGGATTACAGCCCTGTGAGTGGGAACTGAAGCTGCGAGCTAACAGACTTCAGCTTGAATGCTCAGGGTTACAAGGCAACGAAACAGAAATAATCCAACTCCTCATGCTTACTGCGTGCTGCTCCCAAGAAGAGTCAATCCAAACACCAAATCTGAAGGCAAGCGACCCAGGAGTTGATTTCACAGTGTGAAATCTTACTACTGCAGGTAATATAAATAGGTAATGCGTACCTACATAGAATCTCTGAAACAATTCCATTACTTTTCTGTGTTGTAAGGTAATTTCCAGAATGGAACTGTGGCTCTGACAGCCTGACTGCAGCCACCCCACCACTGCACTGCACGCAGCAGAACCAGATGGAGGCTTGCTGTTTTAAAGCTGCCACGTTACTTTCCCATTGAAAAGGTGTATGCTGCTATTCCAAAACATCCAGGGACCGAAACATGGAGGGACAGCAGAGCAATTGGCTGAAACAACATGCTGGGAGACAAAGGACAGTCACTGCCTCAGCTCTGAGGGAGAACTAACGTTTTACTCTCTTATTTCCTGAGCAATGCAACATTCCTTTCATTCTTCATCACCTTAGGAACCAAATTTAGCTTTACATGCTTAAAGCTTGAATGCTCATCCCCAGAATTAATTTGGCTAATTGCCTAACCTAACGAAGACCTCATTAAAGGAATCAACCTGGGAGTTATTTGTATTTAGTCCTGATTCTGAGCGCCAACATTCATGAAGTTGGCGGGCTCTAAGAAACACCTCCTTCATAGTACAAAGGCAGACCCTTGTGTGGGCTCAAGGCTAACAGCTTTAGAATCAGTTCTGTTCACAACAAAAATCCAACGTTTTAAAGAAAACGACGGCGGGGTGAGGAAGCAGAAAGCACAAAAACATTGCGAAGCATCCCGCTGTGCCACACCAGTGGTCCAGGCAAAGCTGTGAGCATCAGATGGTGTCTGGGGGGCACAGCACCACGGCCACCCCTTGGGTAGCTCCCCAGCATCCAGTTTTCACACCACGGGTTCCCCCAGCGGTGCGACACAGCAGAGGTTTCATGTTTCCATTTCACACAATTCCATTTACAATTCTCTATTTTGCAAAAAACAAAAACAAATCAGTCCAAGAAAGGCTGAACGGCACCTGAACGAAGCATTTAACTTCCAAAATTTGAGATTTCACTCACATAGGAAACAAACAAGCCTCTGAAACGAGACTACTGGTTCCACACCGCATCAACGGTCTTTCCTTGAGAAGAAATCTACTGAACCTTCCAAAAACACGACGGACTCCTACAGTGATCGGCGGGGCTGGGATCCCTTCGCAAGCAGATAACGTGGCAGCAAACACAAAAAACATTGACGCCTCAGCGCACGGAGCCCCTCCATCAGAGCTAAAGCCAACAGCACAACCTCGGGGCCGTACGCTACGAGGCCTCAGGGCGGAAAACACCCTAAAATACGCCAAAATCCTCTTATGACAACGGCGAGAACTTAATTCCCCAACGAACCTCGAGCACCGGCAGCGACGTGCCGGCCTGCAGAGCCGCAGCCCCGGCCGGCAGCGGCAGAACAGGCCGCAGCCCCGGCCCGATCCAGCGCGGGGCGAGCAGAGAGCCCCGAGCAGCAGCCGGGCCTCGGAGAGCCGCAGGACGGCCCGAAGGAAGCCGAGCCGAGAAGGGCCGAGGCGAGGAGAGCCGCACGCCCGATCCGGCCCGGGTCGCACGGAGCAGAGCCGGCGCGGGCTGAGACTCACCAAGGAGATGGTAGTTGTGGCCGCCATCTTGTCCACCCCGTCGGCGATCGGCACGAAACTCTCGCGAGAACCTTCAGGAGCGCGCAGAGGGATAACTCTCGCGAGAGGTCCTGTAGAAAGACTTGGGAGAACATCTCGCGAGAATGCGGGTGAGAGCGGGCGGGACGACGGAGTTGGCGCCAGCCTCGCTCTGCTTCCGCTTCCGCTGCCACCCACCCGTCGCAGAGCGCCCCCTGCGCGTTGGGCGGAGCGCTGAGCCCGCGCTGGGTGTTGTGGGCGTGCGATGGGTGCTGATGCGCGACTTGGGGCGGCTGCAGCACTGTGACCTGTACCGTTCTGCTCTTCCTTTCGGGTGGCCCAGTCTTTTATGCACAGATTTAAATGCACGGGCGAAGTCAGACCAGTGGAAATGCCGTTTCTGCCGCAGAGGGTGGAAATGCCACAGGAGTTTTAGGGATCCTTAAGGTTCTGATCAACGATTCAGAAAGTTCAAGCCAGTAAAGCTTCCCGAAAGCCGTGTGACGACTTGACATCTCAGTGCTGATGGTCAGGAAGTTCTGCACGGCAAAGCATCTTTTTTTCAGCTAGCAGAAAAGGTGCAACGTCTGAATCAGAACACAAAACCAATCGGCCTTCTTTCTAGCCTGAATTTGAGAGCAGCTAACCACTGGCAGGCATTCGTTACTGAGGCTCAGCGGATTCCTACACCGTGCAATTGCTAATGACTGTAGATCTTCCAGAACACCTTCTAGTAGATCTAACAGATCTTCTAGCAGATACTGTGCAGGATGCAGAGCACATGGCAGCCGGGTGGCCAAGGAGGCCGATGGCATCCCGGCTTGTGCCAGGCACAGTGCAGCCAGCAGAGCGGGAGGTGCTCATCCCTCTGTACTCAGCTGTGGTGAGGCTGCACCTCAGCGCTGTGCTCAGTTGGGCCCCCACTGCAGGCGAGACGCCGAGGCCCTGCAGCGTGCAGAGAAGGGCAGCGGAGCTGGGAGGGTCTGGAGCACAAATCCTATGGGGAGCGGCTGGGGGAATGGGATTTGTGCAGCGTGGAGAAGAGGAGGCTCAGGGGACCCCTATTGCTCTGCAGTGACCCGGAGCACTCAGAGAGGGAGGCTGTGGTGAGCTGGGCTCGGCCTTTGCTCCCATGTAGCAGCGACAGGATGAGAGGGAATGGCCTCAGGCTGAGGCAGGGCAGATTTGGGTTGGATTTGGAAAAACTCCTGCTCAGGAAGCTGCACCGGGCTGCAGTGGGGGGCGGTGGAGTCACTGCCCCTGGAGGTGTTGAAGGAAGGGTTCGATATCCTGGGGACGTGGTTCTGGGGGCAGTGATAGGCGGGAGGTTGGGCTGCGTGATACGGATGTCTTTTCCAACCTTTGTGATTCTGTGATTCTATGTGCCACACCACAGCTATGATACACGGACAGGAATTTCGGTCATTGTGAGCTGACAGACCTGACCATCGGATCCAGGGACACATCCCCCCCTTGTCTGGCAGGACTGTTGTCTGACTTGCAAACATGAGGGCAGCATTTCCATTCTTGTGCTGGTGACAGCTCTGCAGAGGCGGCCATGCACGTCTCTCTGGATGCTGAGCTGTGGGCCTGCAATACTCCTGCAGCAAAGGAGGCTCACGGCCACCTGGGCTGCCCTGGGAAAGCCTCATTAACTGGCTGAGGGAAGAACCTCTCCTCTCCTCTTTGAGGCTCCCTCAAAAGCACAGAGCCCATGAAATGGAACGAGCCCAGCGCAGACAGCCTAGATGGCAAAGGGCCTGGAGGGTGCACGGTGGGAGAGGCTGAGAGCTGGGATGGCTGCACATCAGTGTGAACAGATGCCTGATCAGTGGGTGAAGACTCGTGGAATCACAGAACAGGTTGGGTTGGGAGGGCCTTTAAAGTCCACAGAACGATCGAGTGGTTCGTATGGGAAAGAACCTTAAAGATCATCCAGTTCCAACGCAAGAAGCTGGAGCTAGGCTGTTCTTGGTGGTCCCAGCACTGGGGCAAGAGGCTGAGCAATGGGCCCAAATTGAAAAACAGGGAAATCTTTTTTTCACTGAGGTTGGCTGAACACTGGTTACCCGCGGGTTATCCAGGCAGGCTGGATGTCTCCACCCGTGGGGGTTCTCAGACCTGACATGGCACTGGGCCACCCAGCACTGGGCTGGAGGACCGCTCAGGGCGGCCCTCACCAACCTCAGATCTCCTGTGGCGCTGTGACTGCTGCCTGATGTGTGCATGAAACACCCTGTGGCTGCCAGTTAACACACTTATAACTGCTGAGTGCAGCCAGCAGGAGGGAGATCCATCGCTCAAGCTGAGCTGTAATGACATTCAGAATTGAGAATGAGGGTGAAGTGTGCTAAAGAAGAGCTCACCGGCTGAGCAAGGAAGCAGCAGCTGGTGTATGAAGGCACTTCTTAGTTTGCAAAGGCAAGTGCAAGCTTGTTCAGGACAAAGCAATTTCTGCATCACGCAGCTGAATGCTGCTTTTCCTGCGAATGCTTTCTCTATCCAATCTACCCGACTTTGCTGGGTCAGCGTTGAACTCGAGGAAGCTGCTTCACTCTTGTTAACTCTAAGAGTGACCAAGAGACCACCGGGTGCTCGCTCAGCAGACCAGCTCCTGGCGTGAGATAAGCTGCTTGCAATGGCTTTATTGATTTGTCAGTTCTGTCAGGCCGGCACAGCGCAGCACGACTGGGGAACACGGCACAAGTGGCAGCTCGGCACAGCGGCGCAGCACGGCGGCCCCAGCCACACAGCCGGTGCAGCACCACGCGGCACGAGGCGGGCGATGGAAGACTTGGCACAGCGCAGCGCGGCAGCAGGGCTGCTCACAGCACAGCTTTCACTACAAGAATAATCTCTATTGGTGATTTTTACCAATGGAACCCGATGGGCAGCAGCTACGATGGCGCCTTTCTATGCACAAGCGATGGAAGTTCCAAACACCCCAGGACACGCAGGGAAGGAAGAGACATAGGGGTTTTTCCCCTTAGGTTACCATAAGATTTTTGAAGGCCGTGAGACAAACAGCAGTGAAAATGGTTCTGTTCAGCACCAGTGACGTTTCTGCTGTTCCCTGTGTTGGGATCCAGCTGGGTTTGGGTTGCTGCAGTTTCTTCTCCTGCAGCGCCAAGTCCAGCTCACAAAGTCCACCTGTCAGCTTACAGCAAGATGCGAGCTTCTAACTGAAAGGCATCACAGCGGTTCAGCTGTGTGTGGAAAACCTTAACAAAACATCAGGAAAAGGAGATAGAGGATGGAACGTGGCAGATGGCAAACTGCGCTGGAGCTTTCCTCCCTTCCGCACCCATCACCAGCTGGCAAAGAGGAAAAAAGAAAGAGCTTTAGAGAAAAGCTTATCACTCCCAGAGGCAAATGTATCAGTCTGTGGGACTCTTGCAGCAGCTCCACATCTTCACAAACACCATCAGCGCTCCCCCAGGCCCCACAGCTACCCTGGATTGCCTCTCCAGGAGCAGGGGCCGGGGCACGTGCTGGTGCAGAGGCCATTCCTTGTGTTACAGCTGGTTGCTATTCCACTTGCTGTTGTCTTTCCACGCCACAGCAAAGGCATACAGACTCTCACGGACTGCAAAGATTCAGTCTGGAGCGGCCCCGCTGGAGGAGTTGGTTCCAGAGCCCATGGCTGCTCCTTGCTGGGTACGTGCCCGTCCCCACAGCGCAGGGACCCCACTGCCCCAGGGGTGACTCACAAGGGAGGAGACCGGTGCTTGTGGAAGGCATTTTCCAGGAAGTTAGCCAGTTTCTCACAGTCATCCTAAATATAGAAGAAAAAGCAAGCCGACAGATTAGTTTGCCACGCTTTTTCCAGCACACAGGAGAAAGCACTCTGCTGTTTCAGTTCCAAGCTGTGCAGTTGCTGTGCTCAGGTGAAGAAAAGAAGGAAGCCTGAATACACTTTTTCTTTTCCAGGCTTACTCATATGTATTTTTCAGTGAGTGAAGCTAACCCCTGCCTTGTCTGATGTCAACATCCAGAATGAGAAACGCTTCAAAGCTTTGCCTACAGCCCCAGAATCCCCAACTTGTACAAAACAGAAAAATAAACGCATTTTTCATTTTCCCCACACTCCTTTGCCCTGAGGCCACGCTGCCCAAATGACTGCGCAGCTCTGCGTTCCTCCTTGAGTCCGTCTGCAGACACCAAGGGAGAGCCTGGAAGGGGCAGTGCTGCTGTAGGGCACTTCTGACAGGGAGAAGTTTGCAAAGTGACCTGAGAGCAGCGTGGGCTGCTGGGTCCTGGCCGCTTCTCCCTGGCACGGCTCAGGCTTTCACATTCAGAAAGGCAGGGAGTTGATGCAGCGAGCGTGGTGAGCTGTCACTGCTAGATGGCTGACCCTTCAGAACAGCAGGAGCAAAGTGTGGAGCCCAGAAAAATCAAGCAGAGAAGCACTGAGCAAGGGCACGAGTGCAGCACAGAGCTGCAGCCTGGGCCCCGTGGCCCAGATGGGGAATAAGGCAGGAGGCATCAGGCTGTGCGGCACACAGCGCGCGCTGTCAGTGGCACGGCGCACGAGCAGCCTTACCTCGTGGATGAACCCGTAGTGCACCAGCTCTGTGGCGAGGTCCTTGGAGTTATCAGCTGCAGAGGGAAGGAACAGTGAGAACGTCGGTGCATCCCAGCTCGTCCCCTCCTAACAAAGCACACCTCTCCAGCCCAGCTGCGCCCCGTTGTGCATTAGGGGCACGCACTGCGTGCTGCTGCTCACAGTTCTGAGAACGCTGGGGCCAACAGAGCATAGAGGGGAGTGGGTGAGAGGCAGGACTGAGCTCCAGCCCCACATCACACAGCACAATGCCTTGGCAGTGTGTCAATGGCAGGTCTTTGAGCTTGCCATGGTTGGGCTCAGCATGAAAAGGAAGCAGGCCGCTTCCTGCAGGTAGGAACAGGAGGAGCTGGCGGAGCAGCAAATCCCAAGCGTCAGTTTCCAAGCTTTGTGTTTTTGTTCTGCCTGTAAGGGACTCCAGCTGTGCAGCCTGCAGAGGGCTCCTGCACACCTTAGGAAGGAGCTGCTGCGTCAGACCGGCCCCAGGAGAAGTGCCCTGCCCCAGGGCCATGGG